TTATTGGTTTCGACCAAGTTGTTTTAGTGGTTTGATTTGTTCGGTTCAGTTTTCATTCTGGGATTGTAATATACGTTTTATGTACGTGTGCCACTCGTATATCCCTGTCGTTTTTAATTATCTTAAACTATAATTTGTTGGTGTTTACTTGCTCAGTTTTTCCTTTTTTATTGGTTTCTTCTTTCCTTGATTTTGATTCGATGTCGACTAAACCGGGTTTTTTATTCGTCTACATATTGGTTCGACCAAGTTGGGATTCAATTTCATTCAACCGGGTTTTTTTTTTTATATTGCGAGAAGAATAATAACATGATATATCTAAAAATACCTGCTCCGGCACTTTGCATTTCGAGTGTTGGTCTTTGACTCTGTTAATTCGTTCACAGTCAGTCCCAAAATCAACCTGCTCCGGCTCTACCAGTGAAATTTGACAACAACATCTTCTGCTTCTACTGGTTCTAGTCTCTCTTGGGAGTTTCTTAGTTGAAGATTCCTATCTTCTCTTTTGGATCTTGTTAGCTTGGTTACTCTCTCCTATCATCTCTTTTGGATATTGGTTTTTTGTCTACCAAGTTCTTTGTCATATATTGCCCTTCCTTACCACACCCAAAGGCTGTTGATTGTCCTTTATGTTTGTTTAATATGATGTCGACAAATGTTTTCTTAATCTAATCTACATATTGGTTTCGACCAAGTTGTTTAGTGGTTTGATTTGTTCAGTTCAATTTTCAATCGGGGATTGGAATATACATGTATATGTACGTGTGCCAAGCGTATCTCTTTCGTTTAGATGGTTTCGTTTTTTAATTATCTTAAACGATAATTTGTTTTTGTTTGTGTGTTTACTTGCTCCCCATAACACCTGCGTGATTGACGTTTTTGACAAACTGTGTATACAAACACACACACACGTTAAACCAACCTTTTATCTACTGAATTTCCCAAAATATCCCCATCTTCTCTTTTTCCTTTTTTCTTTGAATAAACAATTCCATCGAACGCGTTACTACTTCAACAAAAAATAAATAAATAATGGATTCTCTTAATTCTCTTACCTTGTCCGAAAACCTCAACTCACCAAAAGGTAAAAGGAGAAAAAAAAACACAATCTCCGCCGCTTTCTTCTCTCGCCGGCGTTTTGACAGTCGTCGTCGTCACTGTTACCGCGTCAAAACCTTACTAATTCAGTTAAAAAATCAAAGAGCAGACAGAGATCTTTTCATCTTCTTTCATTTGAATCTCTCTTCTCCAATTTTTTATTATATTTTTTGTTTCTGTAAGATCTCATGAATTAAAAAAAGGAGGCCATCGTTGCCATCATAACGTGACTTAGTAAAGCAGGAGTAGTGCTGATGTATTTGCCCACGACTACGTCCCTTCCTCGTCTCTTCTTCTCCTTCTTCTTCTTTCTCTGACTCTCTCAAATGCCCATTACCAGTTTGGGCAACACGATTCCTTGAGAGGAGAAGATTTGTTAAATTAAGAAATCGTTTTCTTCTTCTGCCAAATCACCACCAGCTGCGGAAGATCTGAAGCTTAACCTTCCTCTGTTACAGACTCGCAGGTACTCTCACATCCTTGATTTAGTCTGAGATCGTCTACTTGACCGGAATGTGAAAGACATCAGAGTTCGATTTATGTGATTTTGATTTTGATGCGGAAAACAGGGTTTTAGAGATTCGGAATTTTGAAAATTGAGCTACACTCATTCAAGATTTCCCTCTTTAGCTTCAGATTTAAGCTTCTCCTATTTTGGTGGGGTTATGAAACAAATGATCATTTGTCATTTTGATGTCTTTGTGGATAATGTATTTATTGTTATTGTTCAAGCTTAGATCTATTGACATCTGAGTTAAAATCTTGTGCAAACTGTACAATGTTTCTCTTAATTCCATGATCTATAACAATTGACTTGAAATGACTTTTGTTTTCGTCTCTCAGTGATCTGCCGGCTACAAGTCCGGTGGATACAGTGATATCACTAGACGATGGCGTCTAATAACCATTTCACAAACAGCCGATCCAATCTATCAACAAACTCTGATGCTGCTGAAGCCGGGAGGAACCAGCAGCCTGTGCCTCCCTCCGTGACATTCGCCCGGAGGACTTCCTCTGGTCGCTACGTCAACTACTCGAGAGATGATCTTGACAGCGAAATCGGAAGTGTTGACTTCCAAAACTATTTGGTTCATATTCCACAAACTCCGGATAACCAGCCCATGGATCCGTCCATCTCTCAGAAGGTGGAGGAGCAGTACGTGTCGAGCTCCTTGTTCACGGGAGGTTTCAACAGCGTGACTCGGGCTCACCTTATGGAGAAAGTGATCGAGTCAGAGACCAACCATCCGCAGATGGCTGGCACGAAAGGCTCCTCTTGCGCGATCCCTGGCTGCGATGTGAAGGTGATGAGTGATGAGAGAGGTCAAGATCTTCTCCCTTGTGAATGTGACTTCAAAATCTGTAGGGACTGCTTTGTGGATGCTGTCAAAACCGGCGGCGGGATTTGCCCCGGGTGTAAGGAGCCGTACAGGAACACGGACTTGACGGATTTGGCTGATAACAGCAACAACAACAAAGGACATCAGCAACAAAGGCCTATGCTTCCCCCACCAGCAGGCGGCTCGAAGATGGAGAGACGATTGTCTTTGATGAAGTCGACCAAGTCCGGTTTGATGAGGAGTCAAACCGGGGATTTTGATCACAACCGGTGGTTGTTTGAGACTAGTGGCACTTACGGTTATGGAAATGCTTTCTGGACTAAAGATGGGAACTTTGGGGGTGAGAAGGACGGGAATGGCCACGGTATGGGGCCTCAGGATCTGATGAGCAGACCGTGGAGACCTCTTACTCGGAAACTTCAGATTCCTGCAGCTGTTATTAGTCCTTACAGGCTTTTGATATTTATTCGAATCGTTGTTCTTGCTCTCTTCTTGATGTGGAGGATTCAGCACAAGAACCAAGATGCGATATGGCTATGGGGAATGTCTGTGGTCTGTGAGCTTTGGTTCGCCTTCTCTTGGCTTCTTGATCAGCTTCCGAAGCTGAACCCGATTAACCGAGCAACGGATCTCAACGTTCTCAAGGAGAAATTCGAGACGCCTACACCGAGCAACCCGACCGGGAAGTCTGATCTCCCGGGGCTCGATATGTTTGTGTCTACAGCGGATCCGGAGAAGGAGCCTCCTCTTGTCACATCCAACACCATTTTGTCGATTCTTGCTGCGAACTACCCTGTCGAGAAGCTTGCCTGCTACGTTTCTGACGACGGAGGAGCTCTTTTGACGTTCGAAGCAATGGCTGAAGCGGCCAGTTTCGCAAACATTTGGGTTCCTTTCTGTCGTAAACACGACATTGAGCCGAGGAATCCGGATTCGTACTTCAGTCTGAAAAGAGATCCTTACAAGAACAAGGTCAAGGCTGATTTTGTTAAGGATCGGAGAAGGGTGAAGCGTGAGTATGATGAGTTTAAGGTTAGGATCAACAGCTTGCCTGATTCAATCAGGCGACGTTCTGATGCTTATCATGCAAGGGAAGAGATTAAGGCAATGAAGCTACAGAGACAGAACAGAGATGATGAGCCTGTCGAGACTGTCAAGATTCCTAAAGCTACTTGGATGGCTGATGGTACTCACTGGCCTGGCACTTGGATCAGTCCTGGTCCTGATCATACCCGTAGTGACCATGCCGGTATCATTCAGGTACATTTCACTTCACTTTGATTATTCATTTATTTGGTTTGCAGCATTAATAACCAAACTGGACGAACCGAGTTCTGTTTGATTTGGTTTGGTAAATTTCCGGTTCGATTTGGTTTCACAATCTTTTGGTTGCTTTTGGTTTAAGATTTTCGATTTGGTTCAGTTTATATGCCACTCTAAGATCAAATGTGTTTCAAAATTTTGATAGGTGATGTTGAAGCCGCCAAGTGATGAGCCATTACATGGAGTATCAGAAGGGTTCTTGGATCTTACAGATGTTGACATTCGTCTTCCACTTCTTGTCTATGTATCGCGTGAGAAGCGACCGGGTTATGATCACAACAAGAAAGCAGGAGCCATGAATGCGCTGGTGCGAGCTTCTGCAATTATGTCCAACGGTCCATTCATACTGAATCTCGACTGTGATCATTACATCTACAACTCTCAGGCCTTGAGAGAAGGAATGTGTTTCATGATGGATAGAGGCGGTGACCGGCTCTGTTACGTTCAGTTCCCGCAACGGTTCGAAGGTATTGACCCATCGGATCGGTACGCGAATCACAACACTGTCTTCTTTGATGTGAATATGAGAGCTCTTGATGGTTTGATGGGTCCGGTTTACGTCGGAACCGGTTGTCTCTTCAGAAGAATCGCCTTGTACGGATTCGATCCGCCTCGCGCTAAAGAACATCATCCAGGATGCTGCAGCTGTTGCTTCCCTCGCAAGAAGAAGAAGAAAGTCCCTGAAGAGAACCGGTCTTTGAGAATGGGCGGTGACTCGGATGATGAAAATGAGGAGATGAATCTTTCCTTGGTTCCCAAGAAATTCGGAAACTCGACTTTCCTTATCGATTCGATCCCGGTCGCCGAGTTCCAAGGTCGTCCCCTTGCGGATCACCCGGCTGTGCAAAACGGAAGACCTCCCGGAGCTCTCACCATTCCCCGAGAGCTTCTCGATGCATCGACCGTTGCAGAAGCCATAGCCGTTATCTCTTGTTGGTACGAAGATAAAACCGAGTGGGGAACTCGAATCGGTTGGATTTACGGATCGGTCACGGAAGACGTGGTCACCGGTTATCGAATGCATAACCGAGGCTGGAAATCGGTTTACTGCGTGACGAAAAGGGACGCTTTCCGTGGCACAGCTCCGATCAACTTGACGGATAGGCTTCACCAGGTTCTCCGATGGGCTACTGGCTCCGTCGAGATCTTCTTCTCGAAAAACAACGCCTTCCTCGCTAGCCCGAGGATGAAGATACTACAGAGAATCGCTTACCTGAACGTCGGAATCTATCCGTTCACGTCGATCTTCCTCATCGTCTACTGCTTCCTCCCGGCGTTGTCACTCTTCTCAGGCCAATTCATAGTCCAAACACTTAACGTCACCTTCCTCGTCTACCTCTTGATCATCTCCATTACACTCTGCTTGCTCGCTCTCCTCGAGATCAAATGGTCAGGAATCTCGCTAGAGGAATGGTGGAGAAACGAACAGTTTTGGCTCATCGGAGGAACAAGCGCTCACTTAGCCGCGGTTATCCAGGGATTGCTCAAAGTGGTCGCCGGGATCGAAATCTCGTTCACGTTGACATCTAAATCCGGAGGAGACGATGTAGACGACGAGTTCGCGGATCTCTACATTGTGAAATGGACGTCGCTCATGATCCCGCCGATCACGATCATGATGGTGAACCTAATCGCGATCGCGGTCGGGTTTAGCAGGACGATTTACAGTGTGATTCCACAGTGGAGTAAGTTGATTGGAGGAGTGTTCTTCAGTTTCTGGGTTTTGGCTCATCTTTATCCTTTCGCTAAAGGGCTTATGGGAAGAAGAGGAAGGACTCCGACCATTGTTTATGTTTGGTCTGGACTTGTTGCCATCACCATTTCTCTGCTTTGGGTCGCCATTAATCCACCTGCTGGTACCACTGAAATCGGAGGATCTTTCACTTTCCCATGATCATATAGGTTTGGTTTCCTCAAAATTCTCTTCTTTGGTCCATTATAAGATTATTTTTCTTCTGTCCAAAGATCTTCTTTCAAGAGATGGATACGTTTAAAAACTGGAGATATGGATTGGCCAAGAAAACAAAGTATAGCTGAGCCAAACATTAGAGCAAAGTGAAGACTTCTCTCATTATCTTCTTCTTTTATTTTTTTTGATGTTGTTGAAAAAGGACATTTTTTATTTGTCTTTTTTAAATTTTGTAATCTTTGAGCTGTTGATGGAATCATATTTATGTTAATCTATAAACTTTATTCAGTTTTATCTTATGGTTTTTTTAGTGCCAAGTAGTAACCATACATTTGATTCATTTCATCTTTGGAAAGGATAAAACGGGTCGGGTTATCGGGTTAAATATCCAGAAACCGACCCGTAACCTAAACCCGTAAATTAGCCCAAAACGCATGAAGCTAATTTTATTCGTCCCGCCGAAACCCTACCAAAACCTTTCCCGAGACTTGAGAACCTTCTCGTCGAGGGTTCTATGGCAACAGATATTCCGGCTTCGAATTTCTTCTTCTCCAAGCCAATTTCTTCTACATAAATCGTATTTTTCTAACAGCATTTTCAATCCGCAAGAACCCTAACTCTCATCTCCCAGGAATCATGGCTCAGAAATGTGCGATTGGTATAATTTCAGCCCTAGCGGCTTCCGCTTCTCTTGCGCAATCGAAAGTCGCTGCCGCTGATGGTCCTTTCAATTTCCCCGGATTATCTACTGCTCCGTCTTCGGCGAATCCTCAGCACCAGGCCGCTTCTCCCCCGCCGTCGCAAACTCAGAAGCCACCGTCAACGGCTGGTCAAGAATCTTCTGCTCCGCCCAAGGCTCGGAATGATAATCCGAGGACGAGTTCCGGTGGTTTCGATCCGGAGGCCCTGGAGCGAGGAGCCAAAGCCTTGAAAGAGATCAACAAGTCCTCTTACGCGAAAAAGGTTTTTTAAGCTTTCTCTCTTTTTCGTTGTGTAATTGGGGAATATTTTGTTTTAATCATCTCTGGAACAATCGAATAGTGCATCGCTTGCTACATAGGAAGTTCTCTACCAACTAAATCTTCGTTTAGGGGAGTGAAAGCTGAGAAATGAAAGAATTGTGCTAGGTTATAATTTGTATCATGAAGCTGATAGAGTTGTGCTTGAGCTTAAGAGATTTTTTATTGTAGAAGTCTGTGTTGGATCTCAGGAGTGTTCTCTTTCTGTATCTTATAAGTTGTGGTTAGGCTCACAATTGGTGTGTGCTTGGTTATGGTAGGTTTTTGAGAGTATTAAGCAGCAAGAAGAGACAAAGCAAACTGAGTTTGCAGCGAAGGCGCAAGAGTACAAAGCTATGCAAGCGCAAGCTGAAACGGTGAGTAATACTAACTTTAAGTTTATTGTTCATCAGTGATCACTGTGAGACAGTTTTTTGTAATCTGTATCATTTCATTATTCGGCTTAGATGCTTCTTGGCAGCAAAGTTGTAAGCCTGACATTTACCATTTTACAGGAGAGGCAAAAGGTACTGTATGATGAACAGAAGAAACTTGCTCAGCACCAAGCACAGACAAAATCGCAGATGGCCCGTTATGAAGATGATTTGGCAAGAAAGAGGATGCAGGCATGCAACTTTGAATACAATTTTTACAACATTGGGAGTTTCGTTTCTTCTTACTGACAGCTTGTGTTGTGTATATCGTTTAACAGGCTGAGAATGAGTTCCATAGAACAAGAAATCAAGAGCTTGTGAAAATGCAAGAAGAATCGGCAATCAGGCAGGAACAAGCTCGGCGAGCTACTGAGGAACAGATCCAGGCACAGAGACGACAAACCGAGAGGGAGAAGGCTGAGGTTGAACGTGAGACAATCAGGGTCAAAGCGATAGCAGAAGCAGAAGGGAGAGCCCATGAAGCAAGGCTTGCTGAAGATGTAAACAGGAGAATGCTTGTTGATCGTGCAAACGCAGAAAGAGAGAAATGGGTTGCTGCCATAAACACTACATTCGATCATATTGGAGGTGCGATATGAATTGCATGCATTGAATTCTTTAGTAGAACTTGATATCACCTATTGGCAATTAGAGTCTTAATGCTCATGTGCCATGATTTGTTTTCAGAAAAGATGTGTGTGACCTCCCTTTCGTACTAAGAAATTGAATATCTAATCGTTTTTAACAGATCTTTGACACTGTACTCTTGTTTCCTAGGTGGCTTGCGCGCAATTCTGACGGATCAAAATAAATTGATTGTTGCTGTTGGTGGTGCCACCGCGCTCGCAGCTGGTATCTACACAACGAGGTAAAGCCGTAAAGACTTTATATTTTGTCCAAAATCTGAGGGAAAACATTGCCATAATCAGGAGTTCATGTCGTTGAAATGGTTGAGGAAGTGGCTAAGAAATTTCTCGAATTACATTTCTTGATTATGTTCCTTAGCTCACTTATCATTCAGTTGTTAAACAAGATATTGAAGTATAAACTTAGGCGTCTGCTAAATTGCTTGTTGCAGAGAAGGTGCAAAGGTTATTTGGAGCTATGTGGACAGAATATTAGGACAACCATCCTTAATCCGAGAATCATCAAGAGGCAAGTACCCTTGGTCTGGCTCGCTTTCTCGTGCAATGTCCACATTGCGAGGTAAGGGGTCGGCTTCCAACAATGGAAAAGGGTTTGGTGATGTTATTTTGCATCCTTCTCTACAAAAGAGGATTGAACAGCTAGCTAATGCAACCGCCAACACAAAATCCCACCAGGCTCCTTTCCGAAACATGCTCTTCTACGGTCCTCCAGGAACTGGGAAAACAATGGCTGCCAGAGAGCTGGCTCGTAAATCTGTATGTTTTCTTTCCATACAGTTCAATTGTTACATATAAAAGAAATGGACGCTGAAGCCTCTTCTAGCAAATAAAGTTTAGATGTGATAGCAAAAGATGGTCGTTGCTGATTTCCATGATTGCATTTGAAAGTTGAGTGAGCTCTTAGTTTTAGGGTCTCTCGGATTTACTTCATCAGTTCTAGTGATTCTAAGGTTTGTAATTCTTGTAGGGTTTGGATTATGCACTGATGACTGGTGGAGATGTTGCTCCCCTTGGATCTCAGGCTGTTACAAAGATTCACCAACTGTTTGATTGGGGGAAAAAGTCCAAGAGAGGTTTATTGCTCTTCATAGATGAAGCCGATGCTTTCTTGTGCGAGTAAGCGTTACTACTCATATCAGATTACACAGGCTGGTGATTTCAACACTTTGTTTTTGGTTTTGATTGGTTCATAACAATTTAACAGGAGGAACAAAACATACATGAGCGAAGCCCAAAGGAGTGCACTAAATGCTCTTCTCTTCCGAACTGGTGATCAGTCCAAAGACATAGTCTTAGCACTTGCTACAAATCGACCTGGTGACCTAGACTCAGCTGTGGCTGACCGTGTCGATGAGGTTCTTGAGTTCCCCTTACCCGGAGAAGAAGAGCGGTTCAAGCTTCTAAACCTCTATCTAGAAAAGTACATAGCTCAGGCTGGTCCAAGAAAGCCAGGCTTGTTCGACCGGCTCTTCAAGAAAGAGCAGCAGAAGATCGAGATAAAGGGTGTCACTGAAGAGCTCTTAAAGGAGGCGGCTGCCAAAACGGAAGGGTTTTCTGGTAGAGAGATAGCGAAATTGATGGCGAGTGTTCAGGCAGCTGTTTATGGAAGTGAGGACTGTGTGTTGGACTCTGTGCTTTTCAGAGAGGTTGTTGATTACAAAGCTGCAGAGCATCAACAGAGAATAAAACTGGCTGGAGCCGATTCGAAATGAGAGATTTGTAAGTTCATCGAGTAAGTGGGTCTCGCCTTCTCACTTCTGGAAAGAGGGAAAAAAGAAAGTCTCCTGTTTTGGAAATTTAGATACTAGAATTCTGATTTCTATTGTTTCTCCTTTTTGGTTAGGGAGAGTTTTTGTACTTTTGTCATCTTTTTATTTCGGGCCAAATATAGACTTATTACAGGCCAAAAATGGGCTAATTACGGGCCAGAAATATTCTTGTTATGTACATATTACAGGCCGAAAATAGGCTTTGTATCAAAAGTCGAATTGAACATTTTATGTCTGAACGGCTGCCGCTTAAAAGACAAATTTATGTCGGAACGTTAAATGGTTAAATGTCGGAATATCTTCTGTCGGATCATTTAATGTCGGAACATATCCTGTCGGAATAGATTCGGTCGGAACAATTTCATGTCGGAATATATCCTGTCGGAACGTTTTGATGTCTGAATAATTTTTGTCCGAATGGGCTTCATTACGGGTCGAAAATGGGCCATTAATGGGCCGAAATGGGCTTTATTTTGAGACGAAAATGGGCTTCGTATCAAAACTCTAATTGAACAGTTTATGTCGGAACGGGAGCCTAATTAATGTCGGAAACTGTCGGAAAAATTTCTGTCTGAAAAGTTGATGTCGGAATATCTTTTGTCGGACCAGTTCATGTCGGAAAAAATTCTGTCCGAAAATTTAATGTCGGAATATCTTTTGTCGGACCAGTTCATGTCGGGAAAATTTCTGTCGGAAAAATCGATGTCGGAATTTCTTTTCAGTTCATGTCGGAAAAAATTTTGTCCGAAAAGTTGATGTCGGAAATCGGAATATTATTTGTCGGAACAATTTCTGTCGGAATCTTTTAAGTCGGAATATTTTCTGTCTTGATGTCGGAATATTTTTGGTCGGAACTGGCCGAGTATGCTTTGTTACCGGTCAAAAATGGGCCTATCACGGGCCAAAATGGGCTTTATTTCGAGACCAATTAGCCTTTTAATATGAAGCCCATTTTAATGTAGTTTTCTACTGTACCCTACTTTTGGACTATGTATAACACATGCGCATCACGTTCAAGTCTAATTTATAGAGGCCCATAAGTGAGAGCGTGTCGTTTAAATGTTTTACTTTCAAGTAGATTACTCAACTACGACAGTTTAGCAGCATTATTAGCCTTTGGAAAGGTCAAGGGCATGGAAAAGACAAATACATATTGGATTTTACAACTTGAGGAGAGATGAGAGACATGAAGCAAGAACAAAATAAATCACCATTATGACATTATCCAACTTCGACCGAATCATTTATTAGATATGACTGGAGATTTCGAAGGACCACCTCAGACCTGAGATTTCAGTTTAGTGATGATGATCTTGTACGTAACGAAGGCCACAGTACTTGCAGATCGCTGGCTCATCTAGGTCAAGGCATATGAACTCGATTGGATGACCGAGGGCCGGATTAGTGTCTGCAAATTAAAGCGAAGTATCAAGTTTTCTAGTTTGCAAATATAATCACTAAAGTAAATAAACTGATGAGACGAGGAGACAAACCTCCTTCACAAGCAGCAATCCTTCCATCAACTTTGATAGGAGGAACCTCATTGATCAGTTCCATTGGAGACTTCTTGCTTCTATCCTGTACAGATTAGTTCCTTCAACAGCGTTATTCAAAACTCTACCAGAGAAGTTGCAAACAAAATCAAAATGTGATACGCAAACTAATTCACCAGAAAGAACCGATGGTATAGAGCATGTGCGATGTATCTATATAAATTTGGAAATCTCAACTCGACAATTCCAATTCTCCAAACGAATCATTTAGTTTCCAATGTAAGTAGTAAGTAGGGCTGCCATCTTTAACTTATCTAAATTGCAAGTGTCTATAGAGATATATCGAGAACCCTATGTAATGTAATCTTTCGTAGTAACAACCTAAGAAACCTCTATGACACAACTGTATTCAAATGACCAGAGCAATCACAAGCGTATCTGCTTTTTTTTTATAAACATAAATTCCGACAATCAAAAACTTCAGGTAGCAAAGAGAAGTGACACCATAGAACCTGTTGAGAAACAAATTTAAAGCAAATTATAATCTAAGCTAATCGATGTGATTATTAAACTAATGAATAAGGAAAATTGCTATGCAATTGTGAGATGCAGAATAAGATCGACATAACCATGTTATACAACAAATTAATGCACCAGATTCAAGCTGATACCCTAAGAATAATCCATCAAAGATAGTTCACAGTCATCAGGGGAAGCATAAGACCATTTTATTTAGCTATCTTAACCGCCTACTCTATTCTTCTCTCAGCTATTTGCTAGTTTATTGAGGTAGCACTGGATTCTGATTGAAGATGGGCAAAGAAATAGCAGCCCTAAATTCACCCAACGAGAATGATCTTAGCAGAGATAGTTTTCATCGCTCAGTAACAAATTCTCCAGGTAATAGAAGAAGAGAAGCAAAACGGAGTAATACATCTAGAAACTAGGTCCAATGTCAAATTCAAGCAACTCCCGAGCAGATATCATGCCTCTATGAACTCTGATCTAACATCGAAATGAGTACCTTCATTTAATCAAGCGACTAAGCAATAGAGACTCATTAAGGACGATTTACGGAAATGATAGTTTCCCTGTGATATCCAAAATCCAATTTGATACCAGCAACACAGTTTTATGAATCAAACATCCGTGACCGAATTCAGAAAAAAAACAATACCGGATGAGCAAAATCGTAACATGCCAAATCGCGATCTAACCCTAAGAAAGAGCATTAAGAATAATTTACGCAAACTCGGGCTAACCAATACAGACATTAAGGTCAATTTACGAAAATGATCTGTGATTTCCAAAATCCAATTAAATGCCAGTAAACACAGCTTCGCGAATCCCAAATTTCAGAGAACAATAACGGATGAGCAAATCGTAAATATGCCAAATCACGATCTAATTCACGCAAATTAGGCCGTTCGTGAAAGAAAAAAAAATTAGGGCTACAAAATCGCCAATACCTGCATCCATTTGGCGGTGTGATTGCCGACTAGATCGTCTGTAGGAATGCCGATTTGAGTGGCAGCAACACTAAAGTTCCTCCTCGAAGATGGAAGAATCTGCGATCGGATAAGTGCTTTCAGGAGATTCGACGCCATATCTCCAACAACGAAATAACCAGAAGTCTCGAGGAGAGAGAGAGAGTTGATTGTGAAGCGGAAACTACAATAACGCCTATGCTTAGGCCCATATTAATTGGCAAACAAATAAAAGCCCACGTTTTAGTTCTTCGTGTTGGAGAATTAGCTAAATACATCAGAAAAATGGACATACTGTATTACTATATTTTAATTCTGATTAACAGTACAGTACTTTATGAATAAAAATATCACTACAACATGTACAATCATGTATTCATGTTACATGAATGATAAAAGCATTTTTGTCAAAATCGTGAATTTATGATATAGCGAGATAGTTATTTGACTAGTTATTAATCAAAAAATCAAAACAAAACTTCAATAATCCAAATGCAATCGTAGACAAACATAAAGGCTTTTATTTCCAAGAAAGTGCAGTGTAAAAACGAAACTTAAACATCTTGATACAACTACAACAAACTACAACAAGCTCCAATAACTCCTCTCCAACTTAAAAACCAGATATCATTCACTCACGAGCAACCACTATGAGTTGTTTGCCGACGTTCTTACCATGGAAGAGTCCAATCAAAGCAGAAGGTCCATTCTCGAGCCCTTCAACTACATCCTCAACATAAGTGATCTTCCCTTCTCTTATATACGGAAGCACAAAATCAAGAAACTTGTAGTATTTGTCGAAGTAATCAGTGACCACAAACCCTTGAATCCGAACTCTCTTGTAGATGATGGTTGTTAGGTTATGTACTCCTTCTTGGTCCTCGAAGTTGTACTGTGAGATCATTCCGCATACCGCGATACGGCCGTGTGGCTTCATTTGTAGGAGCACCGCGTCTAGCATTTTGCCTCCTACATTCTCAAAGTATATGTCGATGCCTTCTGGGAAATACCTGGTAAAGAAAAATATCTCATATATTTGAGTTAAATCTCTGTTCCATGAAGAAATTATATATCGGTATGTGAAACTAAGGATTTTACTGACCTCTTCAGGGCGGCATTAAGGTCTTGCTCTTCTTTGTAGTTGAAAGCTTCATCAAAACCGAACTTATTCTTGAGAAGATCAACCTATAACAAAGGTCAACGAAGAAAGAAAAAAGGGGACAAGTCAATCCCTTGATTGAAAGACATGAAAGAAACCAATTGAAATGTGTATCTGTAATCGTTTGATGTGTAATGGGTCAACAGCTAGAGTTCGAAGTAAAGTCTGATTACCTTTTCTTTACTGCCGGCGCTTCCAACGACATAACATCCCATGATCTTTGCAAATTGTCCCACAAGCTGACCAACTGCACCAGATGCAGCTGACACAAAGACAGTCTCTCCTTTCTTTGGAGTACAGACCTCATAGAACCCAGCATAGGCAGTCATACCGGGCATACCTGTCAGAAACAGAGCAATGCTTTTAAGACCAATAGTAAACTATTGAAACTTGTAGAGTTTCCAACAACGTTATCTCTACATGATTGGGAGCTTGTGTCAATAAAGCATGCAATACAATCCAAGACCAGACCATAATGACAAATGTATCAAGCGAAGAGTCATAGATAGAAGTACATCAAGTATCGTATAGCCAGGCTTTATTACTATAAAGTTCACATTTTCTCTGAAACTATCAAGTGAGCTACAAGCATGACCAAAAGAGAAGCTCGAGATCACATACCGAGAAGTCCAGTGTAATAGGATAAAAAAAAGATCTCTGAGAGCTGTTTCCGGGATCCGAAAGAGAGTACTTGGGTTCTCCCAATAACTAAAAAGTGTATCATGCCTGAATCTAACTGGAGTTCGCGGTGGTGGAGGAACTGGATCGGAAAAAGGAGGGATTTTTGTTGTAAGATATCTAATGAAACCGTCGCTGGAATTGATATCTCATTTAAAGAGAAAGATATCAAATATCTGGAGTTTCTTTTTGTATATTATATGGATGATCCGATCCGTAAGGGCCATGATTGGGAATTGTTTGATCGTCTTTCTCCGAGTAAGAGGCGAAACATAATCAACTTGAATTCGGGACAGCTATTCGAAATCTTAGTGAAAGACTGGATTTGTTATCTCATGTTTCCTTTTCGTGAAAAAATACCAATTGAAGTGGAGGGTTTCTTCAAACAACAAGGAGCTGGGTCAACTATTCAATCAAATGATATTGAGCATGTTTCCCATCTCTTCTCGAGAAACAAGCGGGCTATTTCTTTGCAAAATTGTGCTCAATTTCATATGTGGCAATTCCACGAAGATCTCTTCATTAGTTGGGGGAAGAATCCGGACGAATCGGATTTTTTGAGGAAAATATCGAGAGAGAATTGGATTTGGTTAGACAATGTGTGGTTGGTAAACAAGGATAGATTTTTTAGCAAGGTACGAAATGTATCGTCAAATATTCAATATGATTCTACAAGATCTAGTTTCGTTCAAGTAACGGATTCTAGCCAATTGAACGGATCTTCTGATCAATTCATAGATCCTTTCGATTCCATTAGTAATGAGGATTCGGAATATCACACATTGATCAATCAAAGAGAGATTCAACAACTAAAAGAAAGATCGATTCTTTGGGATCCTTCCTTTATTCAAACGGAAGGAAGAGAGATAGAATCAGACCGATTCCCTAAATACCTTTCTGGATATTCCTCAATGCCCCGGCTATTCACGGAACGTGAGAAGCGAATGAATAATCATCTGCTTCCGGAAGAAAGAGAAGAATTTCTTGGGAATCCTACAAGAGCCATTCGTTCTTTTTTCTCTGACAGATGGTCAGAACTTCATCTGGGTTCGAATCCTACTGAGAGGTCCACTAGGGATCAGAAATTGTTGAAGAAAGAACAAGATGTTTCTTTTGTCCCTTCCAGGCGATCGGAAAATAAAGAAATAGTTAATATATTCAAGATAATTACGTATTTACAAAATACCGTCTCAATTCATCCTATTTCATCAGATCTGGGATGTGATATGGTTCCGAAGGATGAACTGGATATGGACAGTTCCAATAAGATTTCATTCTTGAACAAAAATCAATTTTTTGATTTATTTGATCTATTCCATGAACGGAAGAGGGGGGGGTACACGTTACGCCACGATTTTGAGTCAGAAGAGAGATTTCAAGAAATGGCAGATCTATTCACTCTATCAATAACCGAGCCGGATCTGGTGTATCATAAGGGATTTGCCTTTTCTATTGATTCCTACGGGTTGGATCAAAGACAATTCTTGAAGGAGGTTTTCAACTCCAGGGATGAATCGAAAAAGAAATCTTTATTGGTTCTACCTCCTATTTTTTATGAAGAAAATGAATCTTTTTATCGAAGGATCAGAAAAAATTGGGTCCGGATCTCCTGCGGGAATTATTTGGAAGATCCAAAACAAAAAAGAGTGGTATTTGC